ATTACTTTTTACCTTTTTTACGCGGTAAAAGTAGTAACAGGCTTAAAAGTCCATTTACTTATCATTGGTTTTTTTTTTTATTAAGCCCATGCTTTTAAGATTGTAGATTATCACTATAAAAACATATAAATAATTCTCACAATTATCTATCTAAACAAACATCGTCTTCTCCACTTCGCAGCTGCAACACTCAACTCAGCAATACTTACAAGAAGAAAAAAAAGATGGATCATGATCTCGAGATTTTCCCGTTGCTTTCTTATGTCCTTCACCATTCCGATCCAGCTTCTCACGCGCCACCGTCTCTGGCGATTCAACAATCCCTAGCGAATCGTTATCCCCTTCTCACCAATCCCCATGTAATCTCTTCCCTGATCGATTCGATTCCCAGTAACATCACCCAGACGCTTTTCGTTTTCGGTTCTCTTGGTCCTCGACCCGATTCTTTATCGGTTTCTTCTGCTCGGACTAAGATCGCTCAGATCCGAGAGATGGATTCGTTTCCGCCGGAGGATACGGCTAAGGAAGAGCAGATTTACGCTACGGTTGTTCGATTGGAGGAAGTTCACGACGGTTACGAGAAGCAGCTGAGGGATCTGGAGGAGGAGCTGAGTGAGGTTTATGCTTCGGCGGTTGAATCGTTGAACGGTGGCGATGAAGTGAACGAGGAGGTTCTGAGTGTGATTAAGGAAGGAGAAGATGGTGGAATCGTTGAGAGGATCAATCTCTCTGATCGTCAGCTTAAGTTGATCCCTGAAGCTTTAGGGAGAATGGTTGGTTTGGTTTCACTGAATCTCTCTCGCAATGATTTGAAGGTAAAATGCTCTAGGATTTGGAATCATCTCTACATGAAGATAACGGATTCCACTATAGAGACAATACTGAGATCATCTTTATAGATATGTTTATGATTACTCTGATTGCAAGAACCATAAAACGTTTGCTCCAACACTGTAGATGTTGCTAGGTTTTGATCGTGAGTTCTCAGTTACATTATAGCTAGAATCTCAACGAGTTCTCTGATTCGTAGAGGTTGTGTTCTTTAGAGGAAAAAAGCCAAGAAAGAGGTCTAAGTTCTGGGATTTGACTGGTTAGTTTATGAATTTTGTGTGAAGCTTGATCGTCTAGTTATCTGTTAGTCATTGGAAACTATTGAATAAATGATCATCTAAAGAGCTGCAGAGGGAGAACTCATTGATTCTGGTGATCCAAATCTGTGAATCTTTTTATTCTGGAAACAAGATCTTGATCGGCTTGATTCTGTCGGTGTTATGCCCCTATTGTGTCTAAAGCTGTTTACCTTTTGCAGTTCGTACCTGATTCAATCTCAGGACTTGAGAAACTAAAGGAGCTCGATCTATCTTCAAACCTTCTCAGGTCTCTTCCCGACTCTATCGGGCTATTACTTGACCTGAGGATCTTAAATATGGCGGGGAACAAGCTAACTTCACTCCCGGAAAGCATTGCGCAGTGCAGGTTTTGTGCTTACGGATTGCTCAGGTTTTGTTACATTTCGCCTTTTAACCAATTCTGAAGGGAGATATGTTCTCGTGATTAGGTCGCTCGTTGAGTTAGATGCCAGCTTCAACAACTTGACTCAGTTGCCTGCAAACTTCGGATACGGATTACTCAATCTCGAAAGGCTATCAATCCAGCTGAACAAAATCCGTTTCTTCCCCAACTCGATATGCGAGATGCGTTCTCTAAGGTATCTAGATGCACACATGAACGAAATCCACGGGCTTCCAATTGCTATAGGGAGACTCACAAGCCTCGAAGTGTTGAACTTGAGCAGCAACTTCAGCGACTTGACCGAACTCCCTGACACAATCTCTGATTTAACCAACCTAAGGGAGCTAGATCTCAGCAACAACCAGATCAGAGTGTTGCCCGACTCGTTTTTCAGACTAGAGAAGCTGGAGAAACTAAACTTGGACCAGAACCCATTGGAGCTCCCTCCACAAGAGATTGTTAGCCAAAGCGCTAAAGCGATTCTAGAGTTCATGATGAAGAGATGGGAAGAGATAGTCGAGGAAGAGCGAGTGAGAATTATGATTGAAGCTGAGCAGCGACAAGGAGGAGCAACAGGTTGGTTCACATGGGGAAGCTCCATTGTTACTAATCTCATCTCTGGAGTTTCTCCAAGTGGTGAAGTTAAGAACCATGAAAGATCGTATTTGGATAAACAACTCTGAATTTTTTTTTCTTTAGACATGCGATTTTTCTTTATCATAAGCCTTTAAAAACTATTTTTAGGCCCAAGACTGATATGTTTGGGTAACTC